TGTCATTGCTGGGCAGGGCTAAGGGATACCTTGGGAACTGGTGAGACAGTGTCCCTGGGTGTCTGCCAGGTGATTCTGGAAGGGATCGGCCTGTGACTCGGTGCCTGAGGAGAGCAGATCCACCCTCACACCATTGGATCCCCATTCCAGCTGGAGCAATGTCCTTTCTGGCCATGGTCCTTAGTTCCTCACATGCATTTCTGTCTGTGTCTCTCAGGCCTGTTGGTCCTACTTCTCTGGGGGACCCTGGCTGACATGGGGACATGGGAGAGTGGCCTCAGGAGCCAGGCACAGTGGGCCAGACCTAAAGACCAAAGATCAAACAAATGCCAACCTCCCTAAAGATTGGCATCCAAGATTGATCATCACCCTGAGGGAGCCAGAAGAATCTTTAATCCGAGTACTACTGGATGGCTACCTGATAAAGTCCTGTTCTACATTCATACCCGCTTGCTACATGACTCGCAATGGTGTTTGTAATCCCATTGGTTGACTATAGTTTTGTCCCACCCCACATCCACCTTAGGGAGTTCCCATTTTCTCCACCTTAGCCCCGCATGGTTTTACACTATAAAAGTCCCTGAAGACGCAGCTTCCCAGGTACAACCCGCTCAGGCCCCACTCCTGTCCCTCTCTCGGACAGGAGCTTTCTTTCCCTCAATAAATATATTCTGTTCATAACCTCTGTTTGTTCCTAAAATTCATTATTCAGTTTTAGAGAACATGAACTCATCCAGGTCAGGTCTGGAGATCATTTTTCCTCTATATCATTTGGAGGTCACCTACCCAAGATCAGTTTTTCTCCCTGTATCATAACCAAACTGTGAATATTCCCTTGCCACTCATTCAACCCATCTTAAAATACAAACCTCTCTCATTGGCCAAATTGTTGGGGGAAAAAAGGATGAAGAGGACCACTTTTCCCTGGAGACTTGATGCCTGTAGTCAACTCCTTTTTTTCAGTTTATCAACAACAAATGTCTCCAAGTCTCCCTCTCTAACTTTAGCCCTGAAGAGATTGTTTTCTGTACTTTCATTTTTTCTTTCTTTCTCTACATGTTTTGAAGATAAATGTTGTTCCCAGATGACTTGCTTGACTTGGCCTCCAGCCCTCTTCCCTGCAACTCCTAAAATTGTACCTGTTATGGATAGCCTCTAAATTCCTTCAGGGTTCCTTCCAGGATTTCTCTGGCATCAATGTTCTTTTATGCTCTTTAATTTTCAATTTCATCCTAATGTCTCCCTGTGGGCAACTATCCCCACGTGGTTCATCTCCCGGCTCTTTGCCTTTGGGCCCAGGTCTCACTCTGGTCTGGTCAGCCGCTCCTTTCCACCACTTGGCTTCCTTCTTCCCCCTCTTTCCCAGGCACCCTTCCTCCCAAACTCTCTCCCTCTTGGCTCCACACAGAGTCAAACCCAAAATTGCAGAACAAGTCTTCCTGACTTTGACCTGGGCAAGCAAGCACAAAAACTCTCCTTTGTTAACATTAAAATTGTTCCCCCCACAGACCAGGTAGCACTGCTAAGATTGGCTCTCCCTCAGCTGTTCCAGCCCACAAAGCAAGTGCACGCGCGTGTGCACACACACACACACACACACACACGCACGCACACCCCACATTAACACCTTAAAAGCCCTGTGCTTTGCCTTGTTCTCTGCTGTCTTGGTCCTCTAGACAGCCAGCCTGCTTGCTGCCCCCAGTAAATCTTCTACTCATGTCAGAATGCCTGGTCTGGTTGATTGCGTGGTCATACCTAACAATTTTGTGCTATGATTTTATTCTCTTGGTCTTTTTCACCTGCTGAATGAGTGAACAATGAATTTAATGTCATGCGCCAAATCTCCTGAATGGAAGAAATGTTATCTAGTAGACACTTAATCACTCCTCCAAATGTTAGGCGAGTGTCATTTCTCACATCTGTGTGCCTGATACCATCGATGGTAACTACGCTGGGTAGATTCAGGTGTCGTCCTGACTGTGGCTCATGTATGGGAGCCAAGAGGTCGGAGGCTGCGGGTATTCCTTCCATGTGGGGACAGACTGGAATCCCAGTCCTGTGCCTTCTCCACTGAGGTCTGTTTGCCTGTCTGATGGGAGGTTGGTGTTTCAGGCATATGGACTCATGGGCCCCTGCGGCTAGCTTTCCAGCTGGACTGCTTGCTCTCAGCAAGTACTGTTTTCTGAACCTCACGTTCTTCCCCCGTGAAATCTGGCGGTGGTATTTGGGGTGGTTGTGTGAACAACTAAATCTGAGTATTGAGCCATGTATCCTCCCCAGTACCAAGTGAGCTTTTCATCGATGTCAGTTTTCATTTTATTTTTTAAAGTGTAAACAAATCATTATAAATTTTTAGCACCTGTCTATTTTCTGGACTCAGAGTCCTTTCAGCATTTCTACCGACTGCAGAAGTTTGGGTGAGCTGAGCTGGGTCCCACCTCTGGCCAAGATGCCCTGTAACCTTGAGGCCTGGCTTCCTATCTGGGGGGACTGTGCAGTCAGGCTGCAGGAGTCAAGAGTAGACAAGAGAATGACCTCCTCCTTCAAAGGTACCAAGTATTTATACACCACAGAGAGGGCAGGAGAGTCACCTACCGTACATCAAGGACTCTTAGTAGTCCCTAGTGAAAACACGCCAGTCAGTCAGAAAATGAGCAGAAGATGCAAGCAAACATTTCCCTAGAGGGTGGGCACAGATGGTAAATACACACATGGGGCAATGTTTCACTGCCTAAGCCTTCAGGGATGCACACCACGAGAGGCATTAGCATGGTAAAATAACACCACCCAATGCTGAGGCTGCAAGAAATCCACCCTTGTCCATTGCTGGGGATGTGGGATGGCCCAGGCACTCTGGAAAAGAATGTGGCAGTGTCTTGACATGTTCTCTATGCAGCTCAGAAACTGTACTCCTGAGCCGTTAGGTCACAGAAGTGAAATCGCTCTCATGCTGAAACTTGGCCATGGATCTTGGTAGCATCTTACACATGACAATTGTCCTTGCTGAGTGGCTGCCCATTGCAGTGCATTCGCACAAGGACACTGCTGAGTGCTGAAAAGCAGGGAGCCACCTATGCATGTAGCGTCCCTGAGTCTGCTGAAAGTGAATGCTGAGGACAGAGGCTGAGCCCGAGGGGATGGGCTGCTCATTCCATGGTCCCATTTCTGTAGAAAACAAGGAACATCCACTTGCATCTGATGTCTAAAATGTTACTTGTCTAAAGGATTTTTCTGCTTAAAAGGGAGGTCTGCTGCATCTAAATCTTACATTTTGTGTTTGATGGGATGAGATAGTTCCCCCCCCACCCCGGCTTCAACCTCTCTTTTTAAAAATGTAGCACTGCAAATCATCTCAGGATCTCAAGGTACAACTTTGTACCCTCAGTCAAGACAGGTCTTCCTTGTGCTACTTTATAGGTGAGACAGCTGAGGTCTAGAGTTCAGGGTGAGTCAGACTTAGTCTAAGTGTATTGTGGCTGAGCATGGTGGCACACACCTGTTACCTGAGCATTCAGAAGGCTGACACAGGAGGATCACCAGAAGTTTAAAATAAATATATGATTTATAATATCTTCAAATTTCTCATGGCATAGACTTAAAATTTTAATTTGGACCTTCAGAAGCTCATTCTTCAAACATGGATTTCAATGGCACTGATTGGAGCCTCCTCAGCCATGTGTGGACTTGGGGTTTCTCTCTGGAGGAGTGAGGGTGGGGCTTGCCAGTTAGCTCAATTGTTTAAGGGCCTGCATGGGCAAACCCAGTCAGGTGCAGGGGACCGACTTTCAATCCCCAGCTCCACATGTCACACCAGACCTGCCCTTAAGGCAGTCTGAGCCTGCCCCCAAAAATAAATAAATAAATAAATAAATAAATATCCTTCCATGGAAGAGTGGGGAACATCCTGCTCTCAAGTCATGGAGTCTCAGGTATAAAATCCTGACTCCACCACTTCCCAGTCTTGTAACCTTGAGCAGATCATCTCAGCTTTCTAAGCCTCACCTTTCCCACCTGTGAACTGGGCACAGAACTCTGATAGAGAATTCATTTAACAGGTGCTTTGGGATGACAAAGTGAGTCTGAACTCCAGACACCCTCCCAGCACCCAAAAGAACCAGGCTCCTGGGCACTTCTAGAAGTCAGATTTCCTTTCCCTCTATTATAGGCAGCTAAATTAGATAGAAATTAAGACATAATGAACAGGTCTACATGCTTCCCTGAGGGATAAGCAGTATAGTATCATAATTGATATCACTTGGCCTCACAACGTCCAGACAGACACCAGTCCCTCGGGTGGGTGACCAGGACTTCTGAACCCACCTCTTCCTAAAAATGCCTGTGCTCTTTCCATGTACCTTTTCTACATGGCCTGCTTCCCTGCTGGATTAATATTACCCAAGCTGCTATACTTGTAATCCTGTAGGCTGATCATAGTTTGACCCACATTGTACCCACCTTGTGATTTTACCCTTTCAAACATTCTCAGAGAAGTGTGCTTGGTGGCAACTCATTTCTGGGACTTTTCCAGTCCCTCAGGAACTATTCCCATTCCCCAATCAATTTTTCATACTCTCCACCTCTTTTGGAAATTCATTCTTCTATTGCAGGAGACGCAAACTCAGTGTATCTGACCTCTAGCAGGTGAAGGGGTTGCATTTTTTCTCTGTATTATCTCCGTGCCTGCAGGGCATAGGCTGGGGAAGAAGTCTCCAGGAGTGCTGATTAGCCTGTATACAGAGCCCATGCTGTGATGGGGCTGCTGTCTCATCTTTATTGACAGGGAAACTGAGGCCATGAGGCCTAGCTGTTGTCAAAGGGCACATGTGCCTGCTGAGTCAGGCATCTGGCTGGCAGTTCTGGAATGTAGGGAAGCCGGATGACAAGCTGTGCTGCTGAGCTGGCACCTGGGGGTGTCAGCTGCACTCACAGTGGTGGGAGGTTATTCTAAGAGTCATTCGAGCACGTGGGAGATCCCTCTTGCTGGAGCTGGGCTCAGGCCCCCAGCACATTCCCCTCATTGGAGAGGTAGGAAATACCCTGGAGTTGAGCCTCTATGCTGTGCTGGGTATGTACCACTGGGTGCTACAGGGGAGCAGAGAGACACAATGAGGTTCAGTGAGGGCAGCATCTTATACTGGGGCTGGGACACCTACATTGTGCCAGGCCTTTAAGGTTTACATGGTAGGAAGCTCATTGCGAGCAGTCACCAGGGTCACAGGGCAGGGCTTGTTAAAACACAGATGTAGAGATCTGTTATTCTGACTCAGTTGGCCTTGGAATCTGCATTGGGAAAAGGGCTCCTGGTGTGTTGAGGCTGTGGCTCTGGGGCCACATTTTGAGAATAGCTGAGTTCAACCTCCTTTCCTTACATACCTCCAGGGACACAGAACTCATTTATTTATTTATTTATTTATTTTTTGGTGGAACCGGGCCCTTGCACTTGCCAGAGAAGCACTTATTCTACTGAGCCATCTCCCTGGCCCCTCCAACTTCATTTCTGAATCTTATCTTGTCTATGGCTCTGACCTGATGGTCTCTTCAGAAAAGAGCTGTTGGAGGCAGAGGAGGCATGTGGTGAGACAGAGGGTCTCCATCCCCCCACAACCCATCACCTATAGCACTGTCTGCTCTCTGAATCTGCACTGTCTGACAGACACATTTTCTGAGCTACTGAGGAAGACCACACCTACTACGGATTTAAAAGTCCCCATATCTACACTGAAAATTGAGAATTTTAATAATATATATCTCATTTAACCCATTATATCCAAAGTATTATTTTTTATCTCTAGGTTTTGTCAGCCCTGGGTATCGAACCCAAGCTCTTTGTACTGAGCTATATCTCCAACCCTTTTTATTTTTTGTTTGTTTGTTTGTTTTTGGAGACATAGTTCAGGCTGGCTTTGAGTTCACTATGTAGCCCAGAATAGCCTCAAACTTACTGCTATCCTCTTGCCTTAGCCCTCCAAGTGCTGGGATTACAAGTGTATGTCACCATGCCCAGTCACCCAGTTCATTTTTTAATTTGAGGTAAGTTCTCACCGAGTTGCCCAGGTTGGCCTTGAACTTATGATCCACCTGTTCCAGCCTCCTGAAGGGTGAGGATTAGAAGCATCCACCAACAAAATATGATTTTAACAGATCATCATTTTAACAGAAAACATTGGTATAATATATGCATAGATGTTTATGTACATATTTCCCACCCAACATGTTGAAAGCCAACATGAACTTCATAATGACAGATATCTCAGGTCTGCGTGGCTGCAATTTCAGGGCCCCATGACCACACGTGGCTGGAGGCCACAACATTGGAAGTACATCTCCACTTCCCACAGTCCTGTCCCTAAGGCCCACCTCCCCAGCCATGGGCCCTGGCGCCTGATGCCTGCCTTTTCCATGTCCTCACAGGTCCTGTAAAAATATAGTCATGGTTGCATCCTGCTGGTGGCCCTCTGGTCTGGCTTCCAAGTTCCCACCACTGCAGTTCAGCCCTCCCACTCTCCTGGCTTATGGTCTCCTTGCACTTAGGGGTGATTTGTACATAGCACACTGGCAGTTTTTGCCCTCAGAAGCCCCTTGGTCAATCTTTCCGTGTGGTAGTCAGCAGAATCCACTGAGTTCCTGTTAGGTGTTTGTCCTGTCCTGGATCCCAGAGAACAAAACAAATAAGTTCTGAGGAAATGCATAGAACCATGTCAAATGGTGAAGGTGACACAGGAGAAGGGGTGGCAGTGCTAGGGTCACCACTGTGTGGGGCCAGGGAGGACCTCAGAAAAGGGGTTGCCAATAGAGACCAAAGCAAGGAAGCAGGGATGTGTGGCTTTCCTGGGGGAAGATGCAAGAGCCAGTGCAATGGCTTTGGGGCCTGCAGGAGTGTCTGCAGCTCCGGCCAGTCTACCTGCAGCAGAGTGGGAGAGGAGGCCGTAGGAGTCAAGGTCAAGAGCAGGAGAGGTGTGGTGCAGATGGTGCAGGCCTGGGCAAGAACTTGGGTGCTCCCTAGAGAGTGTGTGGGGGGAGGAGGGATGAGTGTGGCCTGGTGAGGACAACCTCTGTGTGAGAGCAGTTCCAGAGCAAGTGGAGGGAAGGGACCCAGCTCCCTCTTCCCCGGACAGGCCAGAAGAGTGGTCACTTACAGGCTTCTTCAAGCCCCTGGGTTCCCCTGGTCTTATCTCCTCCATGGGCCCCAGCCTCAGCCTCAGGAGTGGTGAGCGTGTCACCAGCAGTGTCTTCAGACCTGTGAGGCTGGTTGGGACACATGACAGGGGCTTGAATCACCCCCAGTGAGATGGAGGGGCACCCGGGACAATGGGCTCCACCTCCTTCCTCCTGAGTAATTGCCCCATCTGCCCCTCTGATGGCTAGGGGAAGAGTCAAGTCAGACAGGAAGGCCTGGGGCCGATAGCAGGCAGACAGCAGGAAGGAGGGAATGCCACCCGGGTGAGTCCAGGCTTATGTCATGGCCCCGCCTCCTGCTGTCACAGGTGCCTCCTGCCTCTTTCCCTGCTGCCCACAGCAGCCACACAGTCAGCTGTGAACCTTGCTGCGCACCTTGCTCCTCACACAGGTAGTGGCTGTGGGCTGGGGCAGGGCAGTGGGGGAGGGGGGCAAGGTGGGGGGCAGGTCTCCCTGGTGCGACTGGGCTGCTTCCCTTGGGCAGCTGGAGTCCCAGCCCCACAGCTTCCCAGCACCGTGAGCCTCCTTGCTATCTCAGAAGATATCAGGAAGGATGACAGACATTCATTCCTGGGGCTGTCCTGAGACTGCCACTGGGCAGCACTTGTCTGAGGTAGGTGACCATCTCCTAACTGTGTCACCAGCTTGCTGTGGGGTGTTCAGAAGCCCCTTGTCCTTGCTAGCCTTCTGTTTCCCCATTGGTAAGTAATGACTTTCTTGCCTTACTATTGCCAGAAGGAACAGCATAGGAAGGCAAGGATTGTCCCTAAGGGTTTCAGCTTCTGTCACTCCAGCAGCTGCCCTCCTCCTGGGGGAAAACGTTCTGGGCTTGGGCCTGGGCCTGGTGGACTCAGGAGGGACCAAGGGCTAAAAGACACCTGTATGCAGAAAATTCTGAAAGAAGCTGGGCCTTGGGGGAGGGCCCCTGCCACCACTGGAGCCTCCTGCACAAGTGGTATGGCCTAGAGGGGCCTAGCTGACTCCTCAGGGACAGCCCAGCCTTTGGGGTTGCCTCTGTCCCAGGCCATCAGCCATATCCTGGGGCTGGCTCTGCCCCAGCACCCAGACTCTCTGACCTCAAGCTGGCTTTTTTTTTTTTTTTTTTGTGGAATCAGGGATTGAACTCAGGTCCTTGCGCTTGCCAGAGAAGCATTTATTCTACTGAGCCATCTCCCCAACCCCCAAGCTAGCTTTTTTTTTTTTTTTTGGCGGAACCAGGGATTGAACTCAGGCCCTGTGCTTGCCAGGCAAGCGCTTATTCTACTGAGCCATCTCCCCGGCCCCTCAAGCTAGCTTTTTAAAAAAATTAAAAAAAAATTTTTTTTGACCCTGTTTCAAAATAAATATTGAAAAAAGGGCTGCAATATAGCTCAGCACAGAGGCCCTGGGCTTCATCCCCAGTAATGAAATAAAACCAAAACCAAAACTCCAGAATTGTTCAGAGCCTCCTTTGGGAGTCAAAAGCTTGCTCCGAGGACTTTGCGGGAGGGAAACATGCCCCGTCCTGTTGCTGGTCCTAACTGAGCAGATGTGTAAATGACAACTCCCTCTGTGCTAGGAAAGCCCTGGGTCACACCCAGATGGGTGTCACCCAGGAAAGCTTGATGGTCTGTGGGTTAGGAATCTCACACACTGCTGTGCCCAGGGGCCATGCCCGTGCCGCTTGTGCTCACAGCAGCTCTGTGAGGTCTTCATCTTTTTTCCTCCCCACGTAATAGCTTTGTTGAGACCTGATTCTCAGGCCATCGCATCCACCCTCACACAGTATGTGCTCGGTGTTTTTCAGTACATTCAGCCATCACCCTGGCCCGAGTAGAACATTCTTATCGTCAGCAGAGTCACTTCCCCATCCCTTCCCCCGGGGAAGCAGCGACTGTGTTGCCTCCCAGGCTGGGGCTGGGCTTTTCTGCTGTCTTCTGTCTTGCATGGTGCTGTTGAGGTTCGCCCTGATGTTGGGTGAGTCAGTACTTCCGCTATGTGACTGGTAATACTGCATCGTGCAGTTACATCACAGTTTGTTTATTCATGCAGCAGCTGATGATATTTGAGTTGTTTCTGCTTTCGGTCATTTTGACTAATGCTATAATAATGGCATCTGTGTTCAAGTCTTTGTGTGATGTAGGTTTTTAGCTCTCTTCCATGTACACGTAGGATGGGTCATCTGGTAAATCCCTGTGCTTTATATTTTGTGAAACTTATCTATTTTTTAAATGTTTTGGTGTTACCAGGGATCAAATTCAGGATCTTATGCTTGCCAGGCAAGCACTTATTCCACTGAGCTATCTTCCCAGCCCCCTATTTTGTGCAACTTTTCTAATCCCACTGTAAAATCTCAAGTTTCTTGGGTCCCTCCAGCAACATCTGCTATTGTCTGTGTGACACTATTGACCTCTCATAGTGTCATTGAGCATCAGTACATTTGTTCAAGCCCTTTGACCACTCTGAAACGGGTTATTCCTTGTGTACTACTGAAGCATACCCATGGCCGCTTGCCCATGTGAGGATATTGAGGCGGCGAGAGTGGATGTCAGTTCTTGAGGCCAGTGAGGGGACAGGTAGCTGAGTTCAGGTCAGTGTGGTGCTCATACTGGATGTTTCCTTTGTGGTTTTTATTTGCTTGTGACAGAGAGGGAGGGAGGGGAGGGAAGAGGAATGGAGGGGAGGGCAGGGGATAAGAGAGGAGAGGAGAGGGAGAAACAGAGAGAGAAACAGAGACAGAGACACAGAGACAGAAGGTGGAAAAGAAGACATAGAGACTAAGATTAGAGAATAAGAGAAAAGAGTTTGCTGAGGCTCTGTTTCTTGAGTGCTTACCTAGTCACTCTATCATGATTGGACAATTAAGATCCAGGAAAAGTTTTCAATGACTTTGTAAAAAATATGTTTTTTTCCTATTAATCTTCAGACTTACCAATGAGGGCCCAAAAACAGTTTTGTTGGGGACACACACCCTGCTAGTTTTCTTCATTCCTAAATCTGGACAAATTCTGATTTGACCTGAAAATGCAAAGCATGCTTAAGGTCCCAGCAAGGCATAAGAATCTAGAGTAACTGTTATCCAACTTGTGATTGTTAGTCACTTTCTCTTTGCTAAGACAAAATATCCACCTGTCACTTAATGAGAGGTCTATTCTGGCCTACATTTTTGAAGTTTCAGTCTTGGCATGGTTGGCTGGCTCTAGGCCTGTTGCTCACCTCATGGCAGTAAAGAAGCAGAGAGAAGGAAAGAGCCAGGGAAGAATCTAGACCCTCCAGCCCACACCCCAGGAGCCACCTCTTCCCATCAGGCCTCAACTAACAGCACACTGACCTATAAACTCTTCAGTGGTCTTGCCCACCCCATAATCTAGTCAGTTCCCCTAAAGCCCCACTTATGAGTTCATGAGGCTTAGGGGACTTCTAGATTTAAACCATAACAGTGATTGTACAGTCTTCTCAAGAACAAAGCTGTAGGGACTGGAGAGATGGTTCAGTGGAATAAGCGCTTCCCTGGCAAGTGCAAGGGCCTGAGTTCAATCCCCGGTTTAAAAAAAAAAAAAAAAAAAAGAACAAAGCTGTGTTGTGCAGACATGGGTAAATTTATAAATTCTAGATGGTCCCTGACTGAGCAAGGATTCCACTTACGATTTTTCAACCTTACGGTGGTCCAAAAGCATTTCAGAGAATGCATGTGTTGACGTTTGAATCTGGATCCTTTCCCAGGGTAGGCTGTGCAGTCCCATCCTATCGGGTGACTGGTGCTGAGCAGGACAGTAAGTGGTAGCAGTGCCTAGTTAGCCCCTGCCCATGAAGCTGGGTAGGGTTGGGGGTCATGAGATGCACGACAGAGTGGACTCTGCAGCATGTTGTGTTGCTGAGCTGCTGGCTAGGTTAGATGTTTTCAGTGAATGTGAGACTTACAATACCTTCAGCTTACTGACCCATTGCAAGTGGAGGAGCACCTGTGTGTACAAGAAGCCAGGCCACCAGCTCATGTCTCAAGGCACAGCCATCACCAGGCTAGGATTTCACCACTATGACGTGTGGAAATCTGCCTGTCAAGGAGTATCTTTATGATTATCAGGGTTGGGATTGTGATAACAGGGCTGACACAGGACTTGAGCTAGAAATGGGGCTTCCCTGTTCTTTCCTTTTCCTGTTGCTCTTTTGTATGCTTGTGATAAGCATTACTTCCCTTTCGTGCTTTCTTTGTAGTGATCCTTTGATTACTTGTCCCCACTAAGGGGACTGATTCAGTGAAAGCTGTTGTTTGAGCCTCAAATCTCCCACCTAGGCTCCTATGTACACCATAGGAGATGGCAGTAGTTTGAAGAGAAAAGGGTGACACACACTTGTGTCCCCTGTGAGGCTCTATAGTGGCCTCTAGGAACATGACATGTAGCATCTGACCTACAGGCTGAGGGGACACAGTGGGTTTTGGCTCTATACTGTTAACTGTTTGTAATTTAAAGTATGTAGACAGATATTCTCTCCTTTTCTTCTTTCACCTTGGTGATCATTGCCTGAGAGACTCTGAGCTCAGCATACATGCCCTAACCACAACCATTCATAAACTTGTCACCCAAACAAGGGGTGCCCATCCTCAGGACCATCCCAGAGCTGTTGCTTTAGGGAAAGTCAGGGTCTAGTTGTATCCTTTAGGCTGGCCTAGAACTCACGATCTAGCTCAGGCTAGCCTCAAACTCATGGCAATCTTCCTGCCTCAGTTTCTGGAGTGCTGAGCTTACAGGCATGTGGCCAGCTTTTAAGGAAATTATTTGTACACTGGGCTGGCAGCTGCCCTGGCAACACTGCAGGGTCCTGATCCTCCTCTCTGGGCTCAGCAGGGCTGGCCCCTCTTCTGGAAGTGGCTGTTTGGAGACTTGGAGACAGTCTCCATAGCCTACATCCTCTGGATCCTGGTGGCAATTAGGGATAGAGGGAAGGTCACCTTCTTCATGACAGACTGCTTCTGGGCATCACCCCTGAATGTGTCCCTTTTCACCTTGTTTTCATCTAGGCACTCTCTTGACTTCCTCAGGGATGGTGCCAGTTGCTGGCTACATCAGGGTGATGGGGCCCCAGGGTTGGACTTGTTTGTGCTCAGCTGGCTGGGCAAGAGGAGCTGTTATCCAACCACTAAACTTGTAGACACAGATATTCTCTTTGGATGACCTGGGACAAAACAAGGCAGGAAATGGGAACAGACATCTTACTTCTTTCTCTCCATGGCATTGTAGTGAAATACCTGAGGTCATCGTGTAGAAGGAAAGGTTCATTGAGGCTCACAGCTTTGCAGGTTCTAGCCCATGACAAGTTGGGACTTTGCTTGTAGTGGTTGTCAGGCAGCACATAAAGGAGCACAATCTCTGGCCACATGGCCAGGAAACAAGAGGAGAAAGAGACCAGGGCTTCTACTCCACTCAAGGCCACATCCCCAGTGACCTCACTTCCTTCCCAGTCCCCCCTCTTAAATGTGTCTCTACCCAATCACAACACATTGAGGTACCAAGCCTCTAACCTCTGGTCTTTAGGGACACTTACTATCCAAACCACGGTTCCTCTCACGGATACTTGTCCTCAGATCTGCATTTTCCATCTTCCTTACTGTGTGCCCTTACCAGGGCCAGGGAGATTACTCAGTAGAATAAGCACTTGCTTGACAAATGCAAGGGTCTGAGTTCAATACCCGGTTCCACACACACAAAAAAACAAACAAAAAACTGTGTGCCCTTCCCTTTCTGGTCCTCAGGAATTTTTTTTTTTTTTTTTTTTTTGAAAAGGTTAATGAGCTGTAATAATATTTGTTTCACAACATCAAAAGCAGCAGAGATCCGGAATATAATTTGCGTAAGTCATCAATACTGAGATTGGA